GGGCAGAAGTATATTTATATTATCCCACCTTTTCTCTTGAAACCTTATTCCATCAATTCTTAGTGATCAAAAAAAATTCTTAGTTTCTTATAAAACTAATGTATCCAACAAAACCCTTTGACTTGAGACAGTTTTGTTTCAAGATTAAACTCCAATTTACAAGTTTGTCCTTAATGTTTATAATTTTACCAATGCACCAAGTTAGAATTAGTTTCTATTTGCAGAATTAGTTCCTTTGAGAACGTCTTCTATATCAAAGTAAATGAGTTACTGCTTGGTATCCTTAACTAATTTAAAAATCAATCAAACTGAATCGTGAATTGAATCGAATCGAATTGATTTGGGAAATCTGACTCTATAACCAGCCCTAATCAGAAGAACCTGATGGTCACGTGTAAAGGTTTGCTTCTACAGTGTTTCATGTTGCTAATGTGTTTAGAAGAGAACACTTTAGTCTAAAGTAGAACTGAATCTGTAGATTATCTGGTGGTCTCTGTGTCCTGCAGGGATCTGAGAGAAAACCATAAACCTGACAGCAGTGAGAGGCACACTGGGTGAAAGAAGACAAACGTGTCCATGTTTTGATGAATATAAATGATGATTCACTCAGAGAGGGCTCGCACTGAAGGGAGCAGCTTTGTGTTTGTGCAGGTGTTTGCAGAGAAGATGGGCTTAGAGACGGGCTGGAACTGTCACATCTCTCTGACTCCTAATGGAGACAGTCCCTGTGAAGGAGCTCCATCCAGTCCCAGTCATGGTTCCCTGCACGAAGACCTCAACCAAGGTAAGTGTTGGTAACACCCTCTATTTTGTTTGGTGGGTGGGATTTGATGGGGTAAATATTACTAATTGTTTTAGGTAACTTATGCTGACCTAAACAAATAGTGTTATGAATAAATGACTCATAGATTCAATCAAATCATTGGTATTACAGTATGTACTTTGTCTAATAGTTTTTATTCTATCTTCAGCGCAGATGTCCTTATTGTTGGACAAAATTTTCACAAGTTGGCATAAGTTGTGTAAAACATGTAGAGTGGGAGATGAAGCACACAGGAGCATCTGTTACAGTGGAGAGAAGAAGTATTTGATACACTGTTGATTTTTCAGGTTTTCCCACTTGCAAAACATGTAGAAGACTGTAATTTGTATCATAGATACTCTTCAACTGTGAGTGATGGAATCTAAAACAAAAATCCAGAAAAATACAATGTATGATTTTTAAATAATT